CCTCATGTGTCTCTGACCAACTTTGCACAAACCTATGGTCCAATTATGTCACTAAGACTAGGAACACAGGTGATGGTTATTGGATCATCACCTGCTGCTGCTGTGGAAATCCTCAAGACTCATGATCGCGTGTTATCTGCAAGGTATGTTCCTGATATGCTGCATGTGAAGAGCTTGGAACTCAATTACTTATCGATGGGGTGGGCTCATGAATGCAATGATGGGTGGAAGTATTTACGAACATTATGTAGAACTGAACTTTTCTCAGGTAAAGCAGTGGAGTCTCAAGCATGTTTGAGAGAGAAAACAGTAATGGACATGGTGAAGTTTTTGAGTCGAAGGGAGGGTAAGGTATTGAATGTTGGGGAATTAGTATTTTCTACCGTTTTCAATATGTTGAGTAATATTTTAATAGCTAGAGATTTCATAAGCTTGGAGGAAGATAGAGTAGATTGTGGGATGAAAGGTCTTGTAAGGACAGTAATGGAGTTGGGTTCTTCCCCAAATTTATCGGACTTTTATCCAATCTTAAGTGCATTAGATCTTCAAGGTCTCAAGGCAAAGTCAATGGAGTTGTTTGTAAAGATTTGTGCTACGTGGAAATCCATCATTGAAGAAAAAAGAGCAAGAAAATCTGAAAATTATTCAGGCCGACGAGATTTCTTGGACACCCTTCTGGACAATGCTTTTACAAATGATCGAATCAACCAACTCTGTGGTTTGCTCTCTCTCTCCCCCCCCCCCCCCCCCCCCCCTTGCTTCCATCATGCTAGAGAAGCTACCGGTTAGCGCCTAGAATAAATCTTTAACATGGTTCTGTATTACAATGAATGTCTTGGCAGGAGCTGTTTTCTGCTGGTACAGACACTACTACCTCCACAGTTGAGTGGGCAATGGCAGAATTGATCAGAAATCCAGAAAAATTAAGAAACTACGTGAAGAGCTTGAAAAAGAAATCAAACAAGATTTGCTAAAGGAATCCAGTCTACCTCAGCTGCCTTATCTTCAAGCCTGTGTTAAAGAAACCCTGAGGTTGCATCCTCCTGCACCATTTCTGCTTCCTCATCGAGCTCTCGAGCCATGCAAAGTGTTGAATTATGTCATTCCCAAAAATGCTCAAGTGGTAGTGAATGTTTGGGCTATCGGGAGAGACCCCATGATTTGGGAAGAACCATTGAAATTTAAACCAGAGCGGTTCCTAAACTCGAATTTGGACTTCAAGGGGAATGATTTTGAACTTTTGCCCTTTGGTGCTCGAAGGAGAATCTGCCCTGGCTTACCAATGGCTGCAAAGGGTGTACCTTTTGTTCTTGCTTCATTGATCCATTTCTTTGATTGGTCTCTTCCACATGGAAATGATCTTAATGAGCTAGACATGACTGAGAAGTTTGGCATAACATTGCAGAAGGAACAACCTCTACTCCTCATCCCCAAAGCCAGAAAATGACTCCTAGAGCCATTCGATATTTGTCACTTATGTTTTGTTGTATATCTTGTATAAGAAGTGTAATAATTTGACTTATCAATTTTTATCCAAAAGTTGGCTCAATGTTGTGGTGCTAATATGATGTAAAATCAACTCGGTCCACTTGAAAAATATCTGCTTTAGCTAAATCTGGGTTTTGCTGACAGCTAAATGGTATGGAACCCTGCAAAATGCATTGCAGTCCTATGGTCAGTAGACATGGCTTATGGACAACGTTGCCACACATGACTTCTTTCAGTTGAGTCAGGGTTGAGCTTCATTCAAGTTCAGTCCAAGTTTAGTCATGCAAAGTATCAGATAATTTAGCAGTTTAAGCAATTGTTCATGGAAAGAGAGAAATGTGGGACTGTGGGAGTGCCGAAGACATCTGCCCTAAAATGTTTGGTCTAGTATGCTTGGTAATTCCACTTCAGTAGATGATATATTCCACTGAAGATAGTTGACACCATGAATTTGCCCATGTGGGTTCAAATTTTATTCTTTTTTAAGTAATGAAAAGAAGAAGAAAACCTCCCTTTCCATCATGTTAGAGAGATGCCGATTAGCACCTAGAATACAACCTTAATGTGGTTCTGTTTCACAATGAATGTCTTGGCAGGAGCTGTTCACGGCTGGTACAGACACTACTACCTCCACAGTCGAGTGGGCAATGGCTGAATGGATCAGAAATCCAGAATCAATGAAGAAAGTGTGTGAAGAGCTTGGAAGAGAAATCAACCAAGAATTGCTAAAAGAATTCACTCTACCTGAGCTACCTTACCTTCAAGCCTCTGTAAAAGAAACACTGTGGTTACACCCTCCTGGACCATTTCTGCTTCCACACCATACCTTCCTGCCCTGCAATCAGAATTATACCGTTCCTAAAAATGCCCGAGTTATAGTGAATGTTTGGTCAATTGGGCTTGATCCCATTACATGGGAAGACCCTTTGAAATTTCAACCAGAGTGGTTCCTAAACTCTACTTTGGACTTTAAAGGGAACAATTTTGAACGCTTACCCTTCAGTGCTGGAAGGAGAATCTGCCGTGGCTTACCAATGGCTGCAAAGAGTGTAAGTTTTGTTCTTGCTTCATTTCTTTGATTGGTCTCTTCCAAATGGAAACGGTCCTAATAAGCTAGACATGACGGAGAAGTTTGGTATGACATTACAGAAGGAGCAACCTCTACTCCTCATCCCCAAAGTCAGAAAATGACCTGTATAGCTATTCCATCTTTGTCACTTGCTCCGTCAATTTAACAAACTGTATGTCATGCTGTATGTCTTATACAGCTTGTATAAGTTGTATTACATTTGTAATAAATTGCCTATATCAATATTATCTAAAAGTTGACTCAATGTAGTGGTGCTAAGCATAAAAATCTCTTGTTTAAACATGAAGTTACACTTCTGTCCAGAAAAGCTCATCGTCTTGTAGCCATGACCACAGATCGTTTTGCAGCCATAAACGTAGATAGAAAAAGACCCCAGGTATCTTGCAGATTATGAAGTCATTTAGGTGGCCACGCCTTATGTTTGATATAAATCCATTTCTAGTCATCTTAAAAACTTTTGCTGGTTTGTCTTTTCTGTTTATTCAGAAAACTAACCAGCATATTGATTTATCAGGAAGGGATCAGTTAATCCCGAGTAAGTGCTTTTTCTGAAGCTGTTGCAGACAGAAAGAGAGGTATGGAATGCCCGAATCTTATCATGGATAAGCATAGGCTTTTAAAATCTAATATTTCCTTGTATGTTTGGGCTTTACTCTCAAACAACTACAAATTATTTCTGTTCACTAGGAATACTAAAGTCTCTGACAAGCCATTGTATATCAATATCTATCTGAAATTTCAAGCTCTGCCATAAAACTGCTTCATACATGATATGGTTTGGTTGCTGTTTCAGCAAGACAACTGCGATGACCCCTTGCTGACAACACAATGTGGCATAGTATGATTGGTTCCAATCATTTTCTAGTTAATTTAGGATAAAATGATAAGCAGGTAAGGATCGGAAGGTAATGCTGGATATCAGGTATAATCACTCTGAATATGTAAACTGTATGCAATATCAAAATTAGACAGTAAAAATAACGAATTTAGGACTGAAACAAATGAAATCATTCTACTTATAATAGTCATACTTTTCAGTACATGTTACAAAGACAACTTTGACTACTTTAAACCTTCAACAAAAGAATACAGAGCTAAAATGAACCACTAAGAAAGAATTTCAGTATACAAAGATTAAAGGCTAATGGACTCCATAAACTAAAAACGAAATCTTGACATCTGGCCTGAGAATAACAGAAACCTGAGAAAACCAAATGTTGACATATTTCCTACATATAACGAATGTGTTAACCTTTCTGTATGTATAAGAACAGAATGAAGATCATGAATTTGGAGAAGAAATCGTGGATGATCACAGCTTGACTGGGTGTAAGATGATGAATGATCTAACCATTCAGAGTGAGGCAGCTCCATCTTGCCCTTGCTTCTCCACCCTATAATTTGCAAAAGAATACACCTTCAACAGCATTTCGCTCTGAAGCAATTCTCTCTCGCTGATTCCCAGGCATCGGAACCCTCCTTGTTCCATCAACTTTTGCCACCTCCCAAAACTTGGATGCCTTTCAAACCTATCACGTCCTTCACAGGCAATGATATTACTAATTTCATGTGCAAACATCTCTATTTTGACTCATACTGGGCCTTCTATCGGAAGGCTAGAATCAAGAGAGTCGAATATTGCAGAAGTACTTCAGTGAATTGGATAGCCTTCTTTCAAAGCTATGGTCATTGTGCTTAGCTTCTTGCTCTGCCATGAGAACAACTGTGGGGTTTGTGATTCAAATTAGACCCAAAAACTTCCCAAGTGCTCGGGTAGTATCATCATAAAGCATCTTATGCATCTGGAATATACAATCCATGGCCACAATTTCTTTCTCCTTCACATGAAGCATCCACCGTCTCACATCTCTATACTGTCAACAACTGGATGGTATTCGAAGGGAAGGTTCAATGCCTCAGCAAATCCAGGAAGTCTATCTACTGTTTCAATCAGCTCTTGCTTGGATTCACCTATACCAGTGATTCTAACATGGCTTGGTGGATTAGTCCTAGAGGCCAAACTCATAAACAAACTAGACCAACGGCCTTTGCCTTTGATCCAATGATATTCTTTGTCTCGTAAAAGCTGTCTTCTTAAGGTCAAGGATTCAAGTCCCCATCCCATCCCCCTCCCCCTCCCCCTCCCCCCCTCCCCTACCCCTAAAAAAATAATAAAAATAAAAAAATAAACAAACTAGGCCATTGAAGTCCTTGCTTAATATCAAAATTAATAACGTGAACCCTGTCCTTCCCTTCAGAGTTCTCAGCAGAATCTCATTTGATGTGAAATGAATGAACTTTGGAATTGGGCTCACCTGGTTCAGTAGCCTTAATGCAGTGCTGCTATTATCATCAACCCGATCATGCTCCCGAGGGGAAGTATTGCGAAAGATATGAGGCCAGAGCCTTGATCCTCGCTGAACTAAAGCCTCAGTAAAGTAAGCAATGACGCGGGTAATAAGAGATACAGTTGGAAAGCAAGCTTCCCCAATCTAGCAATAAAATGGTTAGTGCGTGTTATATTCTTTGAGCAAATTGCATCTACAAAAGCCATGCGGAAATTGATTAGCTCAAATCCATCATGCTCCCCATGGTCGTGGTCACCTGATACAACCTCAAAACTTTCATTTGGAATCGGGGCTAGACGTGCTCGATCCAGATGCCTCCTTCGCAGGCCGCCCCCCTGGCTTTTGTCAACATTCTTATCACCTAAGTCTGTAATCCGAGTCACTACCGATTCCACCCAAGGATTTTTTGAGAAAGGCAAAGGCCGTGAAATTGCGTCGCCAGGCAAAAAAACACACCCTTTCTTCCTCTCCTGAACATGATAGTAGAGAGAAAAATTGAGGAGAATTAAAGGTTCTAATGAGTGGAACAGATCCAGGCACCTCGAAACTTTGTCGAAACGAAAACCTCCCAGTACCCTGTTGGCCTAAACTCAAGCTATTGCCGCCTTCTAGGGAATCTTCAGATTTCCCATTTCCCCTTTTCCTCTTAACTCTGCTCATGCAGGACTCATAGTCAAAAGACCCCTGCTCAGCTGACCTCTTCAAGCTTTTACTTTTCTCCCAAAATTCATCTTTATTCTCTCTCATACCATCAATGAATACTGTTGACCAGTGGTTGCCGAAGGTGGGAGGTGGATGCTCTGGGTAAGAGAACTACTATTGGTCTTCACTTGAAAAAGCTTCCCTATTGAAAGACTCAATGGGCTGTGATCGTGAAGTGTTTTTCCTAGGGAAACTATATGGAAAATCCAAACTGTGTGTGCTCATTGAAGCGAAATGGCAATCTTCAAACTGTAGATGGTTCACTCCTCAGATTATGCCCTGGCAACAACAATGTAGTAGAACACCCAGCAAACATTTTCTAACTCTTCCAATTTCCTTTTCTTCTTTCATTCAACTCTCTCTCTCTCTCTCTCTCTCTATAAATTGTAGAGTATGCAATTTTTTACCCTTATATATGCTATGGAATATAGTTTATATATATAAAGAGAAATCAATAGAAACAGACTGTTTGTGTTAAGTTCTAACAGATTAAAATCAAACTCAAACACTAGGAATCCGCTGTCACAGCAGTAAAATCAAAGATAGACTGTCATACATGTGTGTGTCCCTATGTGAAGATATGATAGCATAGGCAATAAGGAACAGCATTAATAAAATCCCACCAAAAAAATCAAAGAATCAGAGACAGAACAAACACTTACCGAAAAATGATCGTTGATCAAAAAATAAATAACAAAATTAATCATCGGATTCCAAAACTTCTCACAGAAAACTCATTGGGAAGAAAAGTGATTTTCCACCTGATTGAAACTCGCACAACACTGCATGAAACACCAAAAACATAGTCGATCGTATTGGCAGCTTAAAAACCGATGAATTGAGTAACCCAGATCAGCATTTGAGACCTTTATCGAGCCCATATTGATGAGACTGAATCTCTAACACAAAACCCATAAACCTCAGCCTTCAAAAGAACCAAAACCCTTTAACCATCGCAGGCGTGAAAATCAAACAATATGATCATAAAAAAAAGGGTCATTTCTCACAACCCAAAAAATCCATACACCATATTGCTGACACTGAATCTCTAACCCACAAACCTCAGTCTTCAAAAGAATCAAAAACCTTCAAACATGCATGAAATGAAACAATATATGATCATAAAAAAGAGAAGGGACCCCCCCCCCCCCCCGGGGGGGTCATTTCTCAAAACCCACAACCCCAAAAATCCATACACCATATTGGAATCGATGAAGCTGCGTTATTTTTCAATAACATTTAAAAACGATGGCTTAGTAAAAAGGGTGTTTCGAAAAGAACTTCGGGAATGTCGTATCATGGCCGTTTTATGAAAGATCAGAGCGTGGAGATGGATGGATGACATGACCGTTGGAGGGTGTCGGCAAGATATGACCGTTGGAGTGTGTCGGTAAGATATGACCGTTGGACGGAGTGGGTGGATTATACTGCCTGTTGTATCCAAAAGCACCTCTTGCTCAACTTCGACGGATCTTGATCTCAAGAATTCTCTAAGTTCCAATTTCTCCGCAGGAACCAGAATTGGATGAGAAACAAGCAGTTTTATGTATTGAAGTAGCTAGCTCGTAGCTACTCAAATATAGATTATTTTCATATTAAATTACTTACTATGTATTAAATAAAAAATTATATAAAATATAACAAATCCCACATATATTTGATGATAAGTTAATGTCATACTATTAAATTAAATTACCCCTACATTTTTTGAAAATTCATCAAACAAACAAATACATTCCGAGCAGAAACAAGCACATATTTAGTGCACATACCATTTCCATATTATGAACATTTAGATGAATGATTCACATTTACTCGAATTAAAAAGCTAAAGGCTTTGAGCCAATATTGCTCAAGGTCCGAATTGAAAATTCTACAAAAATATAGCCACCGATCCGAATGGAAATATAATTTGCTCTGATCTAATAATGCAGAAAATTCTTAATATAAAATACTATATCATTCCTCAAAACCAATCAAACCACCCCCCGTTGAAACAAACCCTGGTCTGCCCATTCAATTGGATAGTTTAGTTGCCATGTATTCCAACCAAATTTCACAAACCCCACTACAACCCCATGTTTGACGTATAAATTATTAGTCGACCTCGACCCTACATTTTTCAAGCATTTTCTTTTTACAACTTTACAAGACAAACATGCTACTAAATCAACTCGAGAAACAGGGCTTCTTGTTTGCTTGTTAGACCTAGCTCGTTCAGAGTTAAGGCACTCTCCCCATCGCTAAAAGCACGCCGCGGATATGGCCTCACCTGCACAAGAAATTACTTCAGATTAATCAGAATAAGCAACATCTTTCATTATCCTTCAGTTAGTCTGATCCAGTTTTCATGATATGTCCCATAATGTATTCATGAGTGCCGTATATCTCTCTTGCATGAAATCAAATCCGTCCTACGTTCAAAATGATTCTAACTAGACAGTAAATTATACAGAGGTCGATGTACAGAACTCAAGATTATACGATACGACTAGTAGATTCTAAATTAACTCATGGGTTTCTAAAACAGGTGGTGTTTCTCAATGCCAACCAGAGCAGAAGAAGAAAAAAATCACCAAAAGCTACAGACAAAGGCTTACCAATCTGTAAGTTCCAGGCTTGACCCCTCTACCAACATCAATAAAGTCAAAAAGATACTGCAAAGCAACCACATTAATATAAGTGACAAGGACCAATGAAAGCATTAAAATCAGGTCATCACCGCAAACCATACCTGCAGCTTCTCAGACTTGAGAAATCGGCGACCGCGGCGGCTGCCATCAGGCATCCGCACAAGAAGGGTAATAGCATTTTCATCATTTGTTGTTGGTTCCTGAGGAAGAGATGCTTCTTTGGCCGCTAGTTGTCTCTCAATCTCCTGAAGCAAAATGGAAGTTCACCCTCACATATAGCATCGATCATTTTTAAGTTATTACCAATCCTCAGATGTGGAGAGTTGACCAGCTAGCAACAGAATATCTCGACAGATTTAATGCAATAGAACACAAGACAACTATGGACTTCTTAATCACAATGAAGGCATTCAATAAGTAGCATCATTCTCATACAACTCAAATTATTCAATGGAATGAATAACTATTCAACAACGAAAAAGTATGATTACAAGAAAAACTACTATATATACTTGAAAAGAACTATACAATAGATGAGTGCAGAAAAAATTACGGCAATAGAAAGCACATACAAGTCTATAAGTTTTACTTAGAAAGTTGCCTTGTCAATATTATAGCAGTGACCTGGCAGAAGAAAATAGAGATTTATCTTTACTGGCCAAGAACATAGACGCAATTTATCTTTACCCATTGTATACATCTTAGAAGACCAAACACAAAATTATAGGTGGTGCACAATTTTTAACCACCGAGTTCTATAAGCAAATCCAACTTCCATTTCTACTTGCTGATAATATTGAGAGGCCAAAATTAAACTACCTGTTCCTCCTCCAACTTTCTACGTGATTCCTCCTCCTTTCGCCTTTCTTCTTCAAGAGCAACTTCTCTAGCTGCTTGTTCTTCTGAACGACGAGCTTCTGCTTCCTCCTTGGCCTTCAATTCTTTTTCTCTGTCAGCTTGCAGTGAAGCAAGATATTCATCATCCTGCATGCATTTCATAGAAATAGAATCAACGCCATATGCTTTTATATAACACACACAGAGGGAGGGAGGGTGAACAAGGATTCATAAAAAGGGGTAACCCATATCTACATTGGTACACAAAATCCGAAAGTAGAAAAAAAAGACTAAATACAACTAGCAAAAGATACAAAGTAATTATGAGGGCACAGAACAGAAACTTTAACCTGTTGTTCCCGTAGCAAACGTTGAGCAGTGAGAGAAGGTGATGGAGGACGTGGCATCCGCCAAGGATAAGGACCCACAGATCTATCTAAGCCATTCTGCATGAGCTGATGTGGTGCATATGGAAAATGATATCCTCTCCCTTCAGGGATTCCACCAAAGAGTGCAGCCTCAAGCATGACAGCTTCATCATGTTCCTCCGAGGAGATGCCTCCCCACTTCAACAAAGATCAAAGCCGGAAAATAAGGTAATTGCAAAAAAGTTAACTAAGCATGATTGTGTATGTAAGGTGTAGATAAGGAAAAAAGAGATACCTCATCGGAATGGATGTCACTTCTGTTATGATGTGGATTACTGGCATTAATACCTTGTTGGGGGCTTGAAGGAGGGCTAACCTCTATTTCTTCAATATCTTTAGCAGTGTCAACAGAACCAGAAGACATTTGCCTACTACTGTGCCTAACAAGTGGCTGTTCTTCAACATCTTCAGCCTCATCCTGGACAGATGAGCTTCCCACCTCCAACCTAGATGGGCTTTACAAACATTTGGCAGATAACCCAAATCATTGCTTCCAATATTATGGGTGCACATACTTGCGCACACAGACAATCAAGCAGAAAAAGCACCAGAGAGAGAGAGAGAGAATTTCTCACCACACAACCATCTAAATAATGAATTTATTGCAATATTCTGCAACACATAAGACGTATGTACCTTCCATTCGATGATGCAGATTTCCCAAGCTCTTCCACCTTGTCTGACTTATAAGCTTCCAACTCTGACACTCCAACTTTCCCCTCCAGTTCACGCAATGCTTTCTCTTGCTCCGCTGTCTGGATTCACTACATGCTAAATGAAAGCAAAAAATAACAACTTAAAGACACCAAAACACAATAGAAGAGCAAACCTTCAATGATAAGGAAACTGCATGAGCAAGTGCAGCATCCTCTTGGTGAGATTGCCTTTGCGGAGGCATGGGATCAGTTGGATCCTGTATCAAGATGAAAATAAAAATTTGATACTGGCAGAGGAGCAAGAAGAAAACCACCAATAAAGCAAAAGCATGTGACGTACAGAGTGAACACCAAATTGTACATCTGGATAACCTATTTCAGCATCCCGTTTGGAAGCCTCAATCGCAGCTCGAATCATTTCTTCTTCTATATCATTGCTGTAGTCAGGTAAATCATCAATCCCAGGGGCACTTGGTCTAGGATGTGTTCCATGAGAATTAGTCGGTTCTGCAACTTGTGCAGATGCAGCAGTTGGAATATCTTTGTCATCTTCATCATCAATTATGACAGGCCCATGGGTTTCTGGGCCACAGGTATCTGCAGTTTCAGTGACATCCTCAATGGTAGGAGCAAGACCTGATTGCCCATTCCCATCCTTGACCTCAATAGGGATCTCCCTCACTTCTCTTGGATGGGACACAAAAGGGGCACCACTAGAAAAATCAGTACCACCATCAAATATACTTCTCCGGAAATCAGGATCAAGGAGAGAAAAAGGATCCAAATTTCCAGCAGAAGAAAAAAGTGAGAAAGGAGATCTGCGGGGTTCATTTTGAATCGGATCATCTATGTCCATTACATCATCCTGAGGAGCAGCAACAGATGCTTCGCGCGTGCTGAATACAGAAAAAATCAAAATGGCAATAAGTCCAGTGCAGATAAATTTTGAAGTCCATTCGCAAGAGAAAACAGAGAAGCAAAAAATTGCAGCAAATATGACATAGCAAACCACCGACGTGTTTCGATCCCCTTCACTGAAATGTGCATTAACGGCTTCATTGAGATTGCTACCATGCTCCTGATTACACAGAAAATTTGAACATCAAATCAAAGGTAAAGAAAAGGAAAAGAAGTTCCAACAAATATAGCATTACCCTTTAAAAACAAAAATTTATGCTACATGGACCTTTCTAAATGCATGAAGTACCTCGATCAGACACTCAACACCTAAGCATGTATAATGGGATATGCACCCACCAAGGGTATTCAGTAATGGAGAGAGAGATAAAACAACAAGCATAGAAACCGTGATGTTAATGGTGTTTTAAGGAAACTAATATAACACAAACATGAACCTACTGGAAGAAACTGCATCCTCATATGCCAACTTGAATGATACCCGTTTTTAAAAACCAATCCCAACGTTGGGTGGAGATACTGCACAGGAATTCTGTTTGCAGCAGGATGGAATAGAAGTTCAAAATACCATTCTGGCAAGTCGGATTGTTGTGCCCACCTTTGCAAGCATGTAGTCACTGAATTAAACAGAAACTATATGCCAAAGAACTATGGGTAAAAATAGTAATGTGGATTTGCAAATGAAAGGGTATTTTCAAAAGAGTTAGAATCAGAGTATTGAATTGACAAAGATGACTGGAAAACAGCAGAGTATAGGAGATTCAGTCTAAGGGCATAAGTGCTCACAAGGCATGGAGGGCCTATATTACAAGAGGCAAGGGGCAACAACAAGGTGCCTGTCTGAATAAAGCAAGGTGCAATTGGCTAATGATGAAACAATAAAAGGATAGTTATACTAAATTTAGCAGTATTTTTTTCATCATACTAATTGTAATGTAACTTTATAAAATATTGTTTGCTAATGTCACTCATCATGATGTGTGCAGGCAAATGTTTGGCAGAAAGACCATTCAATTCAACACATTCATCTTGCACCAGCAACTAACTTTGGGAGTTCATTCTAGCTTCTAAGTTTCACCCACAGTTGTTCAATCCAGCCCTAACTCACCATCTGCCACTCGTCATTGAGATTCTGGCCCTAATTGTATGCGAGGGCTGCAGATTGGCCCTTCAGTTCGTTCTAATTTTAGAGACCCTATTGTTGTGAAAAAACCCTGTTCTCAAGTTCCAAGCATACCTCTCCTGGGGTATTGAAGGGTGATAATTGCAATCCTCACCTTGCCTTATCACCTAAGCGAGCGCCCAAACATTTTGAATTACACAGCACAGAATACATCCCACAGGGTTGAGTTATGGAACAGCAATATGAATAGTGGCGAGAAGAGTCCTACAATGCTACGACTAATTCCCTGTGTGTGGTGGAAGCAAATAAAGCTTGTGCCATAATATTTGGTTCGCCGACACCAGTTCTGAGGAAGGTTTTTAGTAACCAGTCAGTTTAAACAGTGGTTCTTTAATGCCTCTAAGCCATCGATGATTCAGATTACAATCATCATCCCATTTACTCAATACACGCACTGATTTCCAATTACTCAAAGCTTGTGCTTCTTTTGGTTGATCAGGAGAAAAAAATTGTAGCAAAACATAATTAATGGAATTTGGAATCTTAAACATGTCATCACTGGAAACTAAAAAACGTAAAGCTCCACTTCACTGATCCCAAACACAAAAAAAATAAATAAATAAAGATAAGCCTGATTGAATTTTTCCAATGCTTTATGAGCAACGAACCGCACAATTAAACAAAATCCATGTCCAGACAATTAACCACTAGAAAACGGAAAGGTGAATCAGAGATGATTTAACTGATTAACAGCCCTAATTAGAAGCTCCAACAATAGTTAACAACCAATCATGTAAAGCAATAGAGTATAACGTAAACATAAATTAATGCCTAATAAATAAAATACAGTCGATAAATCCTCACATTAATCTCGGAATTTTGATCGGTGATGGAGTACAATTACCTCGAGCTTTTGTATAGCAACGGGTTGTGATACGCCGGTGATGTTCATGAATGTCTCGATTGCTTCCTGATTAGGTCTCGCCATTACCGAAGACTCCAAATTTAAAGAGAGAAAGATGGGAGTCTCTGATTCTCTGACGAGAGAAAAGACAAATTATCTGTGTTAAGGGTTGTGGACTGTAGGCAAAAGATGTGTGGGGGATGTGGTGTTGGGTCGGTAATTATGGGGAAATTGCCCCTTCTCCAGTGTTCTAAACTTGTACGCTTCTGTTTGATGAAATTGTGTTATTTTGATTTCTTTGGGCGTAAGTAGCTTCAAGACTTTAACACGATGGTATTATAAAATGGATTAATTGCTTTTTTTTTTTTTATCTCTCCCTAATTTCGGGAAGAAGTATTATATTTATTCGATGTTTAAAATTATACACATTATTTTTTTATAATTATGTATTAAATAAAATAGTTAATTTTATCATCTAAATTAAAGAAAAATGTACTCCACATGTCCAAAATATGTTATGGGCTTTATTTTCATTGTTTTTTCTTATATGAAAAAACATGTAAGAAAAATATAAACAATTTTTGACCCTTAATCAAAACCTCACTTGAGGGAAAAAGATATTCGGCATGCTTGATTGAAATATGTTAGTTTTAATAAATTTATTTAATGGTCTCAAATAAACTCATTAAACAGACATCAATATTCATCTCAAAATCATTCATATTCGGACACAGTTATAGGTTATTCCTAGTATTCAATATAATGACTCATTGACACAATGTTAAAATTTAATAACAAACTTATAACTAGTCAAAAGTGAACCCCAATATTTTACATTCAATATTTCTCCATCTTCTCACCCTCCTCCCACAAAAATGTAGAGAATACATAAACAATCACACTTGTTATTGGATAAAACTCATACATGTCTTATGAACTCTAGTTTTTGTTTTCTCATACATAATTTATTTCAATCGGTCATTTCTGGTAATGTTAACCATTAAATGAACTGTTAATCTTAATAGAAAAGATCGATTGAAATAAATTACGTAGTTCAAATGACAAATTAGAAACAGTTGAAAGTTAAAGAAACAATTTGTAAGATGTACCCTTTGTTATTTTATATGTAGAATCACCCCTTCTAGCTTTTTTTTTTTCTCTTGGGTAAATAGTACACAAATATCAATTAAATTCATAGTTTTTTATGAGTACCACGATTAAAGGCAGTTTACGCACATTTTAATTAATTTCTTCATAAGTCCAATCAAAGACAAACTATCTTTATACTGAAACTATAATATTTACGAGGGACAAAATCTATTGTGGCCACTTTGCATTCGTGGTTTTGCAACCTTTACCAGCCTTTACTTGGTGTTTGCATTCACTCTTATAATAACCATGCTAGGAATTCAAAGATTTGGATTTTTTTTCGAGTTGGCTAGAACACGTTCAACATAATGCACTCATATTATAAAAACTATATGATCTGGATTCGATGGTATCACTTCATGCCATTCTTGCATTACACGAGGACTTGAGAGTTCACATGAATTGTGAGATTGAATCCTAGCCACATGATGAGAGTTGGACCAAACTTCACTCTATGGAATAATATATGTTGGTACAACTGTCCAAGGGGTAATAAATAGCAAAGATTATCGTAATACAGTAAACAAACCAGTTGTCAACCCAATTTCAAGTGAGACAATTGTTGGTGAGCCCATCATATTGGGCCAGCCCAATTTACGACATCGTATTGCGATTACGTGAGTAAATCAGAGCCGGCCTCTTGAAAAATTGAAACGACGCCGTTCGGTGAGCCAGCTTCTTCAGAAGAATCAGAACTCCCTGTCTGAGCTCCGAACGATCAAACTATTCTCTCTCCAAAACGAAAACCTTCAAGCTCTGATCTGAAAGACAAATGGAGGAAACGAAGAAGGAGATAAAGAAGCCAAGGTTTTGGTTTTGGAGATGGGCATTGGCATCTCTCCTCTTCAGACTAATTCTCATTTACTTCCCCAAAAATCTCAACCTATCCTCTCGTCCCGAAGTCTCCACTCCTCTCACCAGCCTCCGCCGCCGTACTATTTTTCTCTCTCTCTATATATATATATACATATATACGTATATATGTTTTGATTCAATTGGATTAATATGTATTTTGTTCGATTTTGTAGTGGCGGAAGGTTACTGGTTAAAGCAGTCATCTATGTCGCCCTATACTGGTTGGTCTTTTATTCACATTTTCTGTTTAGATATCAGGGTTTCATTGAAATTTAAATGAATTTTTTGCATTTCTCTGGGTTTCACAGGTTCTATGTACCATGGATCTCCTCTTTTGTTGTCAATCCTCGGTCCTCTTACTGTTAAACGGTACTATTGGAGCTTTTACTAACAGATTTTGGATAAACGTTTGTTTGAAAATGTATGATGTGATGTGATATTGTAACATATTGTTGGGTGTGCAGAATCGAAGGGCAACCCAGTCATCTTATATGCAGGTAAACCACACCTCTCTCTCTCTCTCTCTCTCTCTCTCTCTCTAGGTATACCTTATGTATGTATATATGCATACAGACATAGACACATTTATGGTTTCTTCTTACTAATTGTGCATTGAAGGAATTGAAACTGTACAATCGATATTGTCATAGATTTTGCTAAAACTTTTTTGTTGTTGTAGATATTGGCATGGCTCATTTGTTGGATAGAGGAATCCAAATGTGGGAATACTCATGAAAATACTCACTAAGCTGTGACATCTGATAGTTTCATATTCTGAGACCCTTCTTTGTTTAGGAAAGAAGTTGAAGATTTGATTATAACATTTTTATAGTCATTCATCAATGGCTTAGCTTTGTTTCCCTATTCTCTGTTCATCAGCTATTGTTACTCTTTCTGTTTATTCCTTCTTACATGCACAGTTAATATCAACACATTTTTTGGATACAGTGTGGTTTTTGTGATTGCAGATTTTGCCACTGCACTGCTAATTCGTGCAACTGGCCATAATCTTCAATTGGCATATAGTCAGAGTTTGAAATCACTGGATCTTGGTAGACTGTTAGAAAATTCAGGTAACTCCAAATTAATCTTTGATCTCTTGTAGCCTCTCTTCAACTGGCCAGTTCACTTACAAGCTGACTAACTAGTGACGTTTTCATTTCAGAAATTCTATCCTCTGGGGATATTGCTGCTCTCATGTACTTATGGAATCCTTTCACCATCGTCACATGTGTTGGTTTCAACACATCCCCCATTGAAAATCTGGGCATCATCCTGTCAATATATGGAGCATGTACACGTAAGGAGCTGATAACATGTGCCTAGTACACTTCTGCCTTCTCTTTTAATTTATCTAAGTGGCTTTTCTGGTTTTCTTTTGGAACTTTTGAATATGGTATTTTTTCAATGTTTTTATGATTTATATACCATTGCAACCTGATGAATTTAAATGTGAGGCTTCATCTCATATTGTTACAAAGCATATTTATGTATACATGAATTTTGCTGATTATATGGGCGATTAGTAGCTTATTGAAGTCGGCTTTGGTTTTGGATTGAGATGACGATAAATGCGCACATTTTCTTACACGAGCATGAGCTGAGGCATAAGATCTAAGTAATTTTGTGGGAAATGGAACTATCATTAACGAGTGAAGTACTAACTACTAACTATTGTACCTTTTCCCCTGATCAGTATTAGCTGTCTGATTTTCTATATGAAATGAAGCTCTACAATCTCCTACTAAAGAATGATTTTGATGATCAGTGAACTTGTGGTCTTCCCCTAAACCTAAAGGGATATATTTTTGATTGCAGATTTAGTTAATGAGAGGCAAATGTGTAAGAACTGACGGTACTGACCAATACTGAATGATTATATAATGTTTATTTTCTGATGGACACAGGACTAGTTCCATTAGCAGCTTTTGGATGGGTCATAGCATCACATTTGTCTCTTTATCCTGTAATTTTGATAATTCCGGTAGGTCCTTTCTTCTTTTAGTGCCTAAGGAAGCATAGATCATTTTCTATATGATGTAGATACAGTTTAGTGATTGAGGATGTGCAATTAATCTTTCCTTTTGTTCATGTATATCAACACTCTATGTTCGGAAGTATGATTCATCTTTTGTTACAGGTGATTCTTTTACTGGGATATGGTCCAGATGCTCCTCCGAGGAAATTGTTCATGCAAAAGAATTCCACTAAAATTCAAGATAACCTCGCAAGTGATAGCTTTTCCAAGCAAAAGGGATTGACAAGTCAACCAGCGCAACCGACTTCTTTTTCATGGCGACTAGTGCTGTTTTTTCTTTTGTGGGCATCTGTATGGACATTCTATGTCTTAGTTCTGTGTGGCATTTCTGTAACAGAGCATGGTGGTCTTTTGGAGATGTTTAAGAGGTACCAATCTGATATACATATCAGCCTTATGTAGTTGTTCATCTAATCATCTTCTCATGTATATGAAATGCACTTGTGATGCTATCTTGCTGGCTACCCTATTTATTTATTTTTACATAATTTCCTGATTGCTTTTTTTAAAGTAGTGTCCTTGGTTGCAAGAAATCTCCACCGTATAGCTCTATATGCCATGTAAAACAAACGAACATGAATTTTCTGATGTTCAATTGTTAGTTTTAAGCCGCTGGCTGTCTCACTGTACAATCAGAATAAAAAAAAGCAGTGGTTTGCAAATTGCAAGCTCAAATTTCAAGTTATTTTTGCACTTCATATCCAACCATATTCTAGTTAATGGCATTGCTTATCATCTACTCAAATTAGTTCACTCTGATTCATAAAGTTATTCACTAAAATGTAACAGTAATGTATATTCAAGCCCTGTGGTTACTATCACACCTACTTATCTATTAAACTTCTCCATTTCATTTTGTTTAAATGAAATAGTTCGCCAAGACATGCTAGTCTTGTGTACTTAAAACTTGCACAATTTGCAGTGAAACTGCTTATAGATTATACTTTTCCTTTGTAGTTGTGGCACACTTCCGTATCACAAATCCATGCAATTAATGTAAACAATATTTTCCACTTAATTAGGGTTGTTTCTCCTGGTACTAAACTGATAGAGTAATTTTATGATTTGGTTGTGCATGAACATTGAAAGTCTCAACAATAAAGCAAAATAATTTTTTTTTTTCAGTGGATTTCTCCCTTTTTCAATTTTTTAGAATATGCCCGACTCTACAAATTTGTTTGAACGAATCTATGTTTCCTTGTTTTTGCAGAACATATGGGTTTATTCTCACTGTGAAAGATTTGTCTCCAAACATAGGTGTCTTATGGTGAGTGTAAACATACTGGTCTTGTATGTTGAGTGTGGAGTTTTTTGACCAACGTCTAGGTTTTGCATTTCATTAATTTTTTTGACACTTGAATGCAGGTACTTCTTTGCAGAGGTTTTTGATTTTTTCAGAAATTTCTTTCTGATAGTTTTCCATGTAAATATTCTATTCATGATATTGCCGTTGGCCATACGTCTAAACCACCGGCCTTGCTTTCTGGCTTTTGTGTACATTGGCATCTCTTCAATGCTTAAATCCTATCCTTCAGTAAGTTCTCCCATCTTTTTCTAAAACTTCTGTGTACCAAAATTTCAAAATTCATAGCTTGATTTATAAATAGGTAGATTGTTCTGCCATTGTCCATATGTAGCCTTCTCATCTTGTAATCTTTGGTTAGTTCGTCCCTATGACTTTCACTTTTTCATTCCCGTATAAATTACCAAAGGTTATTTAAGCAGAGGTTTTAGGTGAATAAATGCCCGCAACTGACATCCAGTTTGGTTGAGCAAATCCCCCTTTTGAAGGTTTTATTTCTTCTTCTTTATTTCTTGGACATTAATAATCTCTGGATATTTAGTTGCTGGTTTTCGGTGGATCCAGACTGCATCTCCTGGTTTTTGTGACATCGTTTCTTTAAAGCTCTTTAAGGGCACTTTTGATTTCATGTTCTATCAAAATGTAAACTTGTTATTTTTTGTGGGATTAGTTTTTTCTGGCTACACCTAAATATCTTTGAGCCATTAGCCTGCTCATTGTACACCCTTCTGCAAGCTTAAAATAACCAGGGAAAGCTCCACAATTTCTATTTTTACAATTACAGCACCCCAGTATCACCAGCGCTAACTACGACAAAATACTTGGTTGGGTTTGTTCTTTGTACTTGTATCTCCTCCAATTAAGTTTTCTGTTGTGAGTGAAGTATGTACCTATTTATGGTTTTCTTCCAAAATGGATCAGGTTGGGGACTCAGCCCTGTATTTGGGTTTGTTGGGCTTGTTTGTCAACGAACTAGCAGGTAGATTGATAGCAACATTACTTTATAGATGAATTTTACATGGATGGCCATCTTAAGATTTGTCTTACATGTCATGCAGATATGCAATTCTCCTTTTTCCTCTTTTGTGGATGCTTGGGGGTGTCTCTCCTCAGTCCAGTGATGCACAACCTGTGGATATGGAGAGTATGTGTCTGCCTGATGCTTACATGCGTTAATAAATTCTTTGGATCATAACTTAAAATGAAATTTGCAGGGGACTGGCAATGCAAACTTCTACTTTGCAACTGCAATAGCGTATGCTTGCTTCCAGGTTTGTTACTTGTAGTTGATTCCTTAGATTCGACAATAAAATATCCTGAGCATGTAACAAAAGCCAAACCTGTGCACAAACACATGTTCCAAACTTTATATGTTTAATTAAATGGTAATCTTTTCCTTTCCTTCTTGTGCTCAGTCGTGTGAAGTGGTAGTTATTTGTCTTGATTACTGATTAAATCAATTTTTTTTTCCCTCCACAATGGGTTTTCTAAAAATTTTAGTGCTTTTTATGCAATAGGATAAATTCTCTTTCAGATTGTTTTATAATGAATACCATTGAAAACAAACTGGAAAAATGTCATTTTCATACTTAGTTGTAGGTGGCATGATTAGTCCTTGCAGTTCACTTTTGGCTTATTTTGAGGAAGAAATAGGTGCTTACTTGGTGTGACGTATGAATCATTGAGACCAGCCCATGTTCTTTGAAAATGAAGTATGTGCTAAACCAAGGTTGTTATGCTCTTGTATTTTTGACTTTTGCTTGGAAGGTTGGAAATGATATTCTAAATTAGCAGTTTGCTACTTAAGGCGTACTTTTGATCTTTGGTCTATAATGACTTAAAAAAGTTCAGGAACGTTCAAGGCAAGTCATATGTGTGGATTTGGTATGTTGACAATCATGAACATTTGCTGCTTGTAAAGAAGTTATGCCTTCTTCCAAAATGTTTGCTTGTGGCATGGAAAATATGATAGGATGTTTTCATGCACCTCTTAACTGACCTACCTATGGGTTGCGTAGGATCAATGTTACTCTCATAGTATGCGTTGTGAATTCGTTTGTTTACTGATTCCTTGGTGCAGATTATTTTGGTGGTCGAGAGTGTTAGTTCAATGCTCAACCATGACAGGAAGATTAGGAAGCTATCCACTCCAAAGGCTTGAGATGGGAGGTGTTATATAATGTTAATCCTTTCAAAGGTGGTTTTTTGCAATGACACTGCATTGGCTGCTGAACCAGCATCTTTCGCTGCGTCATAGATATGTCACAGCACCATAATGTGGGTTAGTTTGGTGTCACCATTATCTGCAGATTAAATTACGTTCCATCTTTTCAAGGGAAGAAGTTTACACGATGGCCCCTTGAAATATATTTTTCACCAGAGAACATTAACACAGTTGACCTTTATCTTTGATCTTCTCCCGGATGTGTTGTCGACGTGGCATTACCAAGGATCCTACTTCAGAAAACCAGTTCTTGGTTTTTCTATGAGGTAACTGAGTGTACTGATTTGTTTTACTTGTACATCATAGAAGATAATTGCCCTGTTTAGAATTGGTCGCATGGTGAGCAATTTCAGTTTTCATGGCTCGATTGAACATAGAACATAATGGTTTTGATGTCCTCTCAATTGATGCTACTCCAAAACCCAAGTAGCCACTGCTGATATGTCTAAAACCGTGTGCAGGAATACTTGACTGTAATTCACTTCTTTTGTCGTATCATATGCTGTCTTTGGCTTGGTAAAAACCATCATAGTCACAGTTAAATCATCAACATGAAAGTATGCATATGTATAGTTTGTTATTTTATATGTATATTAGTCATTACCCATGCGTAAAGACACTTTTAACACAAAAAATTCGTCAAACAAATAGGGCATCCAAGAATGTCTTAAATAAAAAAAGTGTAAGGGTTGAAATGAAGAAGAATTATATCACGTTAACATCATATAACAATCCCTGTAAAGTTAAATTAATATTATTACAAAATTATCCGGTTATTCATTTCTTTATGGTGGCTCTCATTTCCTGTCAAAATTATCTTGTAATACATTTATCTCTTCTGCTGTTACTTCTCAGATGTTATATAAATATTCTCACATTGCAATTAAATTAAATCAACAAAATAAAAATTTCACCAGTTTAAAAAATAATTATTTAACTGATCTTTTTGTCATTTCAATGTCTATTTTGCATTATTCAAGTATTCAAAAAAAATATGAACATTAGTAAGGGGAAAGTGATGCAAATAAGAAAAAAAATTGATAGTTGGTCTTGATTAGTTTTTTTTTTAACAATTGATTTCACTTATTTTTTTTATTGGTCATTGTTAGTTTTTTATTGGTAATTAGCTTGATTTTAAATTTTTTAGGTTTTTTTGGTGCAATTAGTATCACTTGTTATTTTTTCGTGGTATTTTTTTTTTTTGTGCAATTAGTATCACATGTTCTTTTTTATTGATAATTAGATTAGCTTTGAATGACTATAATTGAGAATTTTTTTTTTAACATTTAAATATTTTCTCATCTATAAAATCATACAAATATTTTGAGTAAATAAGTCCAATTAGGATCATCAAGACAAACAATGCAAAGAGAGAGAGTATGAGATAGTATTATTTGTCTTGACGATCTTAATTAAATTTTTATTAAATATATATATATACACACACGTATGAAAGTTAGGTATATGAGATACAGGGAGAGAAAGAGTTATATAAAAGATCAGAGTTTTAGAGTTTTAAAAAGAATGAAAGTTCAATTAAGATCGTCGGATTAATAATCTTCAAACGATCTAAGTCGTGAAAAGTTTATAACAAATAAAATTAGTTACTTTATTATATAAATGTATAATTTATTATGTATATGTATAGTTTATTATTTTATTTAGTATGGCCCATCTTGTTGTTCTCAGAATAAAAGTACGGGCTTTTTTCTTCTTATTTTTTTATCCACCCTCACAATTGAACCATTTGATCTGGTGTTTATGTGTGGGTGGGTTTTTTTTTGTTTGGAGGGGGTTGTTGGGTTGGGTTGGGTTTATTATGCTTGATGGTTGATCTGTCATTTCTAGTCTAAAGCAAGCTCTCCAGTCAAATAGCACCAACTGGGGCGGTTTAATAGAGTATCAGTTGAATTTTTCACTCCGAAATTAGAGGTTTAAGTGTTAGAGTTGATATTAAGATTTGATAGTCGACCATTATGTTAACTTAATTAGGTTTGTTCTCGAGAGAAATAAAGGAGGAGGTTAGGAGCCTCATATACTTATTAGGAAAGATTTATCATAGTGGTCTCTAAACATTCTTTTCTGTCTTCACTTTTTTTTAATGAGAAAAAAAAAAAAAAAAAAAAGCAAGCCCTCCAGTCAAATTTCGTCCTATATGGTCCACATTATATACAGACAAACCTCTCACGTGATGAGAATTAAGAAATCTGGAATCTCTGTACTTGAATTCTGTCGAAACGGATTAGTGTTTTCGCCGAGGGACACGTCGGTATCCCAAAAAAAAATATTTCGTAATATATTGTTATTTATTATTTTTTTTGATGATTATTTTTATTATTGTTGTGATACTTGCGATCGGTTCTAAAAAATATTAGGATCGATATGAGGCATCACACAAAAATAGTAAAAATATTTATCGCAAAAGTGTTAAATCATTTACAAACATTTATTAAAATAATAAAATTTAGTGGTAGGATTTCAATACCATGTCAAGTCGTTCACCGACACATAAAAAGCTCATTATCGGAACAGCAGGCAACTACTAATTTTTTGGTACCTAGAATTACCCGTGAGTTCAAGTGTTAAACTTGAGTTGGATAATTTGATTTTAACTCGAGCTCAATTCAAAAAAATTTAAACTTGGGCAAAAATTTTTAATACTTGAGTTAGGTTTGGGTTAAAAAACTCTAATCCGAATTTAATTTGAGCTGGACTCGGGTTCACAGATTCCACCTGAACCCGACAAATTAAAAAAAAATTATATATATATATAAAGTATTAACACTGATTTTTCATTTTTATTCTATCGTTCTCTATATTTCTCGTTTATTTTTATTTTTGTTCTTACATTAGTACTGTTAAAAACTTGATTGAAATTATTAGTTGTTAATTTAGGTGAATATTATGTAATATATGTATTAGATTTAAAATAACATATATATTTTGGACTCTATCCGAACTTAACCTAATTGAACTCGTAAAATAATTCAAAATTATTAACCCAAATTCAACCTGAACCCGCCCGAACTAAACTCGGGTAGTGTTCAGATTGAATTTCTCGACCCGAGATAAGGTTAGAATTAAAGATTATATACCTAAAATTGAATTAAAATTGTTTGTCCAACCATGCACCCCCAGTTAAACGTGTGTGTAATGAACCAAAGCACAGTAGTTGGGCGTAGTGTTTGTCGTTGACCCTGCTGCGTCTCTGGTTCCTCACCCATGACCGACATTGTGGTGTGATTCGTTGACCCCTTCAACCAAACCCTGTGTTGTTTCTTGCTCCTTCAACTTTGGTGGACGGTGGTTGGTCATGGGAAAATCTCATGAGCTATTGTTATTCAGAAGTACTTTAGATGGAATAAGTGATATGCTATTTTAAACAAATGATATGTCTGACGATGCATGGGATATTTCCAATAATGTTAGAAGATAGCTACGTTGAGGATGAATCTAACCGAGTGATCGTCAAAGAAGATGAACATGGTGATTCTCCAACAAAAGAAAAGTTCGAAGTGGGGTTGGATGTGACCCGAACCATATGAGATGAGATGTGGTTGTAATCCCACGTGTCAAGATTATAGGGTTCTCACTACAACCCCACTCTGGCACTGAACTCGGACGATGGGTCTGATATTGGACTTCTTGTTGGCATGTCTACAAGTTGGTACCATACGGATTTTTATTTTATTTATTTAAAATCAATTATAGATTTTATTTGTTAGCTTGTTAATGGGAAATATTACAATATCAAAATGCATTTTTAAGTAACATTTTTTTTTCCAATAAAGCACACCATGTATATTACTTTTTAAATTATATAATTCAAAATTAATAATTTAAATCATTTTTTTAACACGAGTAACGTTACCCTCTAGTTAGTTTAACGTGGTGATGTGATGTGATGTATACTTTTTGCTATTTATCTGCTGTGCCGTCCAATCTGAACAATACATGATACCCATCCAACACCCTGTTTTTATGTCACCTTTGGACCATGAGATTTTATTCCTCCCACACACCCATATAACCAAAAAAAAAAGACAAGTGGTACATTTGCTTAACATTTTTTATTTTTGGGAGAATTACGTTCAGATTTATTGAGATTTGTCATTTAATTATTTAGATTTCTTAATATTTAAAATATTACACACAAATATCCTGATATTTATACGCACGTAACCTCTTAAATCCCTATAATAAATATATCAGTTAATAAATTATACTTAAACTCTTGAAAAACAACATGGATTCATTTTTATTTCGAGGTGAAGTATCAATGTGTAATGAAGCAATCCAACCCACAGTAAGGGAGGCTGAGTTTTTTTTTTTTTTTTTATTCAACAATTAAAAAGATTTAAATAAATTTATATATATATTTCGATTAATTTTCTGTCGAGACTGAGTTTTTATTATTTGAATCAACGTCTCTTGTTTGTTTCCTAGAAATGACCGACAATGTGTGTGGGACTTGTTTGACCACTTCAACCAAACGAAGACTTATTTATTTGTTTGTTACTCTAAAAAGACCAAAGTGATTCATTTTCTTCAACTCCACACCGTCAAGTTTGACCAGAACCATCTTTAACACACATTGACCAAAAAAAAACCTTCAACACCGGCTACTAACTACTAAGTCCTAAAATCAATGCAAAATAAACAAGTTTGAATTGAATATTAACGAGTTGAAATTATTTGTCGGTTCTATTTGAGATCATTTTTAACCTTAATTTAAAATTTTATTCAAATTTAAATTAATATTTAAATAAAAATTTTGATTTGATATAGAATATTTTAATAGATAAGTTTAAATTTAAAATAAAATAAACTCATATTTTAAGTAGAGTAAAATATAATTATTCGATCTTTAAACAAAAAAAAAAAAAAAATTGTTACAAGGTATTCAAGATTATGCAGACTATTCTCTTAAAATCAACTAACCACCATGACTTAAATTGTGTTCGAGCATGTCCCTTAAGGATGTGTTTAGATGATAAGGTTGGACTAGATCGAAGATCTGAAAAAAAATATAATTTTCTATTCAACCCAAACTCAAGTTGAATTTTTAAATTTGGTCAAAATAAAATTCAAATGAAATTTTTGATATATTTTTTACTTTTCAAACGTAAATAGATAAGCCCAACATATTTTTTTATCTTACCATATCAAAATTATTTTCTTTTAACCCATGATTTAAACATACTAAAAAAAAAAAAGTAGAATTGTTCGTCCAAGTATGAGAATAAATTGAAGTTCAAACCTATAAGCTATTAAATCTCATACTCAACTACCGAAGATAAAACAAGATACCCTAGATGGGTGAATGTATAAGAATTTGAGTAAACACAGGTGGGTAACACAGGGTAAGTGGCAAGGTAACATTCCATCAAGATACCATAGATGGGTGAATGTATAAGAATTTGAGTAAACACAGGTGGGTAACACAGGGTAAGTGGCAAGGTAACATTCCATCATATTTTTAGAGTTCCAAAGCAAGGATGATACCGATCACCAGTACAG